TCCACCAGCACTGACTCTCTCTGCAGCACTGACACAACCTCACGGCAGCACTGGATGAGGCAGAGAAGGGCTGGAGTCAGTGCCTGGGATGGGATAGTCCTGCTGCAGGCAGAGTGTTCCAGTCAGCTCCATTCGCTCACTCCTGCTGCCCTCTCAGAGAAACACATAAGCAAACAAAGATATGTGAGACCACGACGTGATTTCCTCCCCATCAGGGCTCTCAAAGGGGCAGGAAATTATCAGTGAGCACTAGTCCTGCCTGCCCCGGGGCTGAGGTAAGCAGCCAGCAGTGTATCCTGCCAGGAGCACTTGCAGGTGTGTGAGTGACAGCAGAGCCACATCTCTTCCCTTCTGCCACGTGAGCAGCATCCTTGTCACCTGGGCGAGGGAAGGGGAGTATGGCTGGCACTTGCCTTCTGCCAGAAATTCACTTGCCCTCCTTTTTCTTTTCTTAACGAGCAGGCTATTAACCAAACAGGGGCACGATGAATAAATACGTGGGCTGCAGAGTGGCTCCTGCTGTGGCCTCACTGAGGCTCCGAGCACTGGCAGCCCTCGCCAGCCCCCCTCTCCCTGCACAGCCTCCCGCCCTCGTCTCAGGTGCTCAGAGGCGGTTGCTTTATCCATTGCTAATGACATTTATTTTCTTCTCAGAGCCTCGGGGAGGGCTCTTTCTCTCACCCTCCCTGCTGATGTGAATCCTGCTGCCCTATTATGCTGATCTGAGACTTTTTTTTATTGCTGAGCCGCTGGTGATCTGCCCTGCATCCCCCGTCTCTGCCCCCCAGCCTGCTCTTCCCACAGCCAGGCATGTATTTCCTGGGCTTGATCCAGCCAGCACCGAAGTAAGGAGAAAACCTCTCCCAGTTTTCAGGTTGGATCAGGTCCCTGACCTGGTGAGGACAGGCTAAGACTTTCTTTTGGGTTTCTGGTAACTTTCCTCTAAAATGTCCTTCAGAAAAAGGCAATTATCACCATGCCATTAAAGCTTTCCCCATTGCACGGCCAGATAACTCGCTGGGAGCCTTTTGAAATAACCTTTAAACAATAGATCCTGTCTTGTTTACTGCATGTTCTGAACTCAACAGTAATGCATCCAGATGTCACCCCTGTCTACTGTAGGCCTAACTATTTCTGGAAACACACCAAAGGCAAATTGCTTGGATAATGTCAGATATTGTTGCAAAAAGAATATGACAAGTTTCCATCTCTTTGATAAAGGCTGTGGAGCAGAGAGATGTTTCCCAGGGCAGCAGAGCTGCGTGCACCTTCAACTCAGCTCCGCACAGGAGCCGCATCCCTCCCTCCACGGGCAGATTCCAGAGGCACACACTTTCCAGCTCAAGAAAAAATCAGTGTAGCTGTCAAGCAAAGCTCACAACATCCATGCTGGGTGGTGTGTGACCGCAGGTGGCTTTTGTCCTGGAGGTGGGAGACAGGAGAGAAGCACTGGAGAAGGTGAGACTGGGCTGAGCTGCCCTCGCGGTGTCTCAGCCCGTCTTGTGCCATTATTGTGAGGGAAGTCAAACGTCAGCTCTGACCCATCACAGGTCAGAGAAAAGAGAAAACTGCCTGAAATGAGAGGGTAAAAAAGCTCCCCAGCCCTCGGCTCATCTCTTGTCTCCACTCCAAGCCCTGCCAAAGGGAGCACCCGTGCACGCTGATGGAAGTGCTGGCACCCAGCAGCGTCCCAGGCTGCAGCTCACAGTGCTGCCCCTGGCTCCAGTGAGAAATCTGTGCTCTTGGACACATAGGATGGGATAAAATCATCATTATTGTGATTTTGGCCTAAATCAAGTCCTGTCCCCCTCAGTGCTGCCTCTGACACAGGCACCTTGAGAACCACATCCCCAGAGGAGCCCCGTCCTCCTGCTGGTGCACTGAACTGCTATTAATGGGTCATGGCTGCTATTAGCCTTGCCAGGGAGAAATAGGTCCAAGGATATTTCAAAATGTTATTATGACCTTTAATTTTGTTCCCCAACCTTTCCAGCTGCCCTGTGCCCAGGGCTGTTCTCACAAGGCTCGTGGGTTCCTAAGGTCCCAGCCTTGCCTGGGCTGGCCTTGGCTGTGATCTGAATGTGGCTGAAAGGTCTGAAGAGGGTCAGAGTCCATCACCCAAACCTATTTGTCATCCCGCTGCCAATCTTCAGTGCTGGGGTATATGCTATTTTCTCAGGCAAAGGGTGAACCAATCCCACCACAATAAATCAGATCACAAGGAGAGAAGGAGATGACACATAATGACATGGGAGAAAGTGTAAATTAGATGGGGAATGAGCTGCAAGTTCAACCCAAACACCTGCCCTTCAATGTCATAAGTTGCATCACAAGCTGTGGCTGTGGGAGCCCTGCCAGCACACAGCACCTCTTCCCTGGCCTGTCCTTATCCACATCCATATCCATGACAACACAACAGACAGGTACCAGAGCAGGCCAGGTGAGAAGGTACCAAGTTATCCCCATTTCTTACACCAACACTAATGCAGCTGGGCACTGCACAGCCAGATGAAAAGGTCTGAGTTAGGCAAATCCCTTACAGCTTGGTCAGCTGCAAAACCCCTCAGTGTCCCACATGCTGGGCTCTGAGGACATCTCCTGACATGCCCAAAGGTCAGTGGCACAGACTTTCTCAGCCTGTGAGGACGCAGCGAAGCTCTCTGGGCTGCACATAAATGCCCGAGGGAATTAAGCACATTTATCTCTTTGCATCTGGCACCCAGCAAAACATTTCAAGATCCTAAGGGGGTGTTCAGGTGTGGCTATAAGGTCAGTGAGTGCTCTTCAGCTTCAGACACGGGAAACCTTTAGAAAGACTTGGGTTATTTAATCCATGGGCAGTGAGCGGGTCCTCTGCCCCTGGGCCACTTCTGAACACGTTCTCCTCAGACTGCAAAGCCCGTGAGATCAAACCTTCAGGTTTGACTCTTGTGTCACCTACATGAGGGTTTAGGGACTGCTGCAGGTGCAGTGGAAAAGGATCAGGAGGAGATGTGACAGCTAGACAGAGCTACCAGGCTTTGATGGGAAACAAAGAGAAACAAGGCAAAGATACAGCCAGTAACCACGGCGCGGGTGATGTTCTGCAACTCTCCACGCTCAGGTAGGCACAGGAATCCAAGAATTGCCTGTATTTGTAATCTGTGCTCACTGACAATAAAACAGAAAGGAACAAATGATGTTCCCTTCCTTTCCCCTCACATCCCCACGTCCTTTCTAAACGAGAACCAATGTACCGAGGGGTGATAAATCAACATCAATCACTTCGCGGGGGATTTTGTTGAAGTTCTTTATCTCCACTGAGCACCAGCACCGTTCCTGAAGAGGTCCTGTCATGGTTCTGCACAGAAATCCTGACACGCGGAGGAAGGAGGTTACACTTCTAATTACAGCTGCTTGGTCTTTAAGGTGTTTAAAATCTCTTTTCACCCACTGACAGCCCTAGTGCGTCTTTCTGCTCCTTTCAGACAAGATGAAAACCATCCACAGAGGCTGCAAACAACCTTCAGTTCTTCACACACCACTGCAACAGGGCAAGAGCCTAAACACAGGTGTGGGATAGTTCAGGCACTCACTTCATGCACAATTTATGTAAACTACTTTCCCTTACAGCATTATAATTGAGATGCTTACTCAGTAAAGATGTGATAAGATGACTAAAAAACCCATCATACTGGGTACTTTCGCTCAAAGAAGTCACCCAGGAGCACCATCTGCACTCTAAAAATTGGGATAACCCACCAGGTTGCCTAAAATGACAGACATCCGTCATCACAGACTCAAGTACACGATTTTCCCACCCAGTTTTTATGCTGATTTCGCTGCTCATTTCAGGCTAGAAGACAATCTGTTGAACCTCAAAGTGCTGTCTTCTCTTACCTTTAATTTATTCTGTCAGAAAACTGTCTACCTTAATGAGTATGAGCACACCCCCACTACCTTCCAAGTTTGGTGATCTGTTATGTCAAATATAAATAATCCTGTCTGAAACTGGTCGATATGGGGAAATGAAAAGCCATCTTCCCTTGGGGAATTTCTCTCTCCCTCCCACAGCCCCCTCAAGCCCTCAGGCTACCTTTAATGTACTGAGCAATATCCATGTGCCTCTGAGAGCACAGACCTTGATGGCTGCTCTATTCATGAAACAGTGACAAAAACAACCCACAGGTAATTGTGCCATCACCTTTCTCACAGGCAGCTCTGGATCCCTCTCCATCACCACTGCTTTGCTGAGTGTGAGTTAGTGGGCTGGTTTGCTGCCTAACCTGAGACTGGGGTGGTCTCTACGAACTCACTGGGATGGAGCAGAGGATTCTGATGTCCTTCAGAGCCAGGACACGAGATAGGAACAAAGCCTTGTCCTAGACACATGGCTCCAGGTGAGATGCCCAGACAGGTTATTTAGAGAGCCCAGTTTCAGTCCCATGCTGAGCGTGCAAAGGAGGATGAAATGGAAGAGAAGGACACGATCCGCACACTCAGGAAAGGGATGGGATGGGGGCAGCTTTCCCACTCCATCCCTGAAAGATGCTTTCACGACCTCCTTCACAGGCATGGCTCTGAAACTGAAGATGCTGTAGGACCAGGGAAAACCAAGCCTGGAGCACCTCAGTATTCTTCATGCAGGTCTAAGGTGGCAGGACTTGCCCAGTCCCCCCTGAGACAGGCTCTGGGGGAGCAGATGCTGGGCAGTTCTCCATGTCCTACTCGCTCTGTCTCCCCCCTCCAAACCCCTTCCCAGCCCCACTCCTGGCAGCCGGGGCTATCCTCTGCCTGCTGCCCTCCTTGAGGGTATCCCCCCGGGATACGGTTTCGCTGCCGGTTCCCTCGGAACAGCGATCCCAGGCAGTTCAGGATGCACCGGGAAGCGGGCGGCGGGGGCGGGAGTGAAGCAAACGGGGGGGAAAAAACACCGCGAAAGACCCCAGCGCTGGGAACGACGGGGAGAAGGGGCTCGGCAGAGCCGGGGGGGGGGGGGGGTGTTGTCCTGCCATGCTTACCTTCAAACGGGGGAATGGGGCTGGATCGCTCAGGTGAGGACCGCGTCTCCCGAAGTCTCCCGCTCGCAGAGCATCAACGCCAAAATAAAGGACTTAAAAAAAACCCAAAAACCAAAACCACAATTCAGAAAATAAAAACAAAAGGAAGAAAGCGGTCTGGGGAGCAGTGCGCGGAGCAGGCAGCCGGCAGCAAGCAGCAGCAGCAGCAGCAGCAGCAGCCACCCTCTCGGCACATGGCCGGGCCGGCGGCGGCGGCTCTGCGGGGGACGCTCCCGCCTCCCCGCCCCGCGCCCCAGCGCCGCCGGGGCCGCCAATGACGGCGGCGGGAGCGGAGCGGGGCCGAGCGGGGCCGAGCCGAGCGGGGCCGGGCCGGGCCGAGCCGAGCGGCGCCTCCCCTGAACCCCCCCCCGGGGCCGCACGGGCAGCGCCGCGTGCTGCCGCCCCTTCCCCGCACCGCAACCCCCCTGCACCCGCACCCCGGGATGCGGGGAAAGGGAGACACACACACACACACACACACACCCGCACCGGGATGCGGGTCCGTGCTGCATACCCGGGGGGACAGCCCCTGGGAGATGGGTCACTCCTGCCGGAGCTGGGGCATCCCCATATAGGCACGGGTCATCCCTCTACGGAGCCGGACCACCACTCAACCCCCGGGAGTCGGGCCACACCATCCCGCAGCCGGATCTCCTCCTGACAGAGCCGCGTCACCCACGACAGAGGAGGGGATATTGGTTTGGCCAAAGGAGCCTTCATCCCCAGTGCTGGGGCAGGAAAAGAATCCCCTTCCTCATCCCCAGTGCAGGAAGAGAATCCCCCTTCCCATCTCTGGTGCGGGGATAAAGAGGAGAAAGCCAAAGCAACCCTGCAGCATCCCCCGTTTAACCCCACAAGGGTCCCAGGGCATTTTACAGGTGCCATGACTTTGTTCCCTGCTCCGTTTATCAGGAGCTGTGCTGGGGTTTTGGCTGTTTCGTTTCATTAATAGACACCCTTGGAGAGGGACAGTCTCTCCTCTTCCCAAATCCGTGCCCATTCCAGCACAACCTCAGCTTAGAGTCCTCATCCTCAGCTTTCTCCAAAGATGCTGATGCCGCGTGGGGCGTGTTCAGCAGCGGTGATTCACAAGCCTTCTTAAGTGCAGGAGCGGTGATTCACAAGATTTCCTTAGGCTTGGGGTTGTGATGACCTCCCAGATCTGAAAAAAACAGAGTTTGGGACAAAACCTGAATCCGAGTCGGCATTACCCCTCCAGCAGATGGGCAGCCTGCAGAGGCACCACCACAGCCGTGACCAAGCTGGTGTGACGAGGGAGCACAAAGTGCCCCAGCTCCCACCATGTGTTCTGCAGCCTCTGGTCCCCAGACTCCCAGCAGAGCCCTCCTGGGCACGAAGGATGCTCAGGATGTCTCAGAAGGCCCTGCCAGCCCTGCCTCATTGCCCACCCTGTCAGCAGTCTCAGCTGGCATCACCCGTGTTGTCTGCAAGCTGCTGAACTCCTTGGGCACACAGACCCTTCTGCAGGGCATCGCCCCTCCCAGCCTCCTGGAGATGATGTTGGGAAGACAAGCACATCCAGCCTGGATTCCCTCTGTCCATCAGGACATATGCCTTGTGTTCTGCAGCGTTCACATCCCTGGCCTGACTTCCCTTGGCATTCTCAAGCTTATTCCCAAGAACTAACTCAATTTTTTCCTTTGGCAGTTTCAGCCCATCGATACTTGTTCTGTCCTTCTTGACTGATGAGAATAATCAGGGCTTTTATAGCACATCTGCTCTTTTTAAGATGGTATCACTTACAGGACTCCTTTAATCCATGGAGAGGGAAACAGTCGCATTTAATTAATTGCTCAACAAATAAACTAATTACCGCCAGCAATTTCAGCACACTTTGCACGCAGTTCAAACGCCTGTGCAGAGATCTGAGAGGCAAACCACTCACTCTGATGACAGGAAATCAAAGTGAGGGGGCAAAATTCAGTTTATCTTTAGAGAATCTACTTAAGGTTATTATTGTTTAATTAATTTATATTGTATCACTTAGTACTGAACTGTCTATGTCATGGTTGCTGTTCAGTTTTTCTTCAAGGTTGCTTGAACCACGTGCAAAAGATATTTAAAAGCTGTGCCAGGAACAAAAAAAAAAAACCCTACCAATTTTAGCTTTTTATTACTTGTACTGGTCAAATGCCATTGTCTGACAATTTATCATTGTATCCTTGCTCAGAAATATGAATGATGGAGATTCTCTGCTTGGGCCATTCATTTTGGTTTCTATGCCTGGACTCCTGTACGACAATAAAGATCCTCCTTGCTTCCCAGGGAGATGTCAAAGCAATTCTCACTGAGCTGAGCCCAGGATAGAATCAAGGAAAAACAATGTTATAACAAGGACTTACCAAATGCTTGGGCTGCCTTGTGTGAGTACAGAGCTTGTTTTCTGGGCTCTAAGATGAGGTTTGCTTACTGTAAGAGCAATTCTGTGAAGATCAGTTACCTATGAAGGAGAAAAAGGTTTTTATAATATATTTCCATATTGCAGTGGTGTACAAGACCTCCATCACGAGCACGATCGTGTCAAGGGCTGTACAAACACAGAGTGCAAAGAGCCCTGATTCCCATGACTTTGCAACATAAATTTTTACAGAAGGAAAGTGCTAATTAGCATCCACAGTTTGAGAGCCAGTTGATAGCCTCGAGAGCTGGCAGCTGGCCAGCCACAACTTTCATCAACCTCAACATTTGGGAAGTGTCCTGTGCCTGCCAAGTCTGTGGGATAAACAGACCAGCAGCAGCCAGAAGCCAAATCATTTGTTAAGTCTTAAGTACAGTGTTCAGGTTATGGCCACCTGCTTCTCCCCACCACCACCACCAGTGGGTTATTTTCAGTGTAAATCCTTCGTTGAGTTTGTGTATTCACATTCCTGCAACCAAAAAGTCTTGGTTTCCTCACACGTGACTCAGGACTTGGGAGCAAACTGCTCCCAAACAGGAGTATTGTATGATTTTCACACCACTCAGCATCCAAAGCCTCTCCCTAGGCTTTTTTCCCACCTGCAGCTTGCTCCATCCCCAGGGAACAACTCCCAGTGCGTGGCCATCATGGAAGGGCAGGTTCCCACCTGGTTGTCACGACCCTGGAGGCATCTTCTGTCTGAGACTGATACGTGACCAAAAACCACAACCAAACCTGGGCATTGCTGGGAGCAATTGGCTGCTGAAACACTGCCCAGCTCCCTGTGTGTATTCCCAGTCCTCCGTTGGCCTGGGGGACAGTAGTGGCATTTCCAGACTGAAAACTCTTTCAGCAACTGCATTCTGGTGGATGTGATGCACACCGAGTGTGTGGTCTCCCAGGGATGCAATAAAATAAACAGACACCTGAAATAGGGTAGCAAAGGGCACTTAATATTATTAAAGCATCCCACTGCTTGTGCAGGGCTTTGGTCCTACAGGGAATCACAGTGTTAGGTCTCTATAAATCAACTTCTGCCCATCACAGACCCTGGGAGCAGGTTCAGATGCAGCAGCCAGGTACACTGACAACACAACCTGGTCATCACCTGCCAAATACACCTTTTTCCTGTTCCTAGAGGAAGAGCCTTTTCCTTTGCTGCTCTCTGGCATTTGTTTTTGCCTTAAGCTCCCCAGCAGTAAACAGGACCCTGTGTGTGCAGCTGTGCAGGAGGAGGCTGCAGCAGGAAGCTCTGGGGCTCAGCTCCTCACAGTGACAGCCACCCTCTGGTCCTGATGGAAGCACCGGGTGCTCTTCTCTGACTCTTCCCCATGATTATGGAGATTCTTTCTCTCAGACAGTCCCCAAGCTGATCCCAAATATTCATAGCAGCAGCCTCAAAGGTGTCCACTGCACCCTCCTGCTCTCTCTGGGATGTGGGCACCTGCCTGCAGCACCTCAATCATTGGATTTAAATGCAAATTTTATAGTGGTGAGAACAGTAGCCTGATCTCAAATTTGTGCTCTTCCATAGCAGCCTTTCTCCTTCTGCTTTAACCACCCACAATGTCAGGACCACCTGGTTTATAAATACAGCCCTAAAAACTGCCCATAACTGGGTCCTTGCACCTGCTGCTCCCACTGCTGTGGCTCAGGATGCTGCTTCAGGCAGGAGCGAAGCTGAAGATGCCCTGGGGCCAGATCTGCCACGTGTTACTCCGACAGGTTTCTGTCCTTGAAGGCGACAACCTCAGAGCGTCACGGGATGAATCTGCTTAAAAGAGTTAACGAAGAAACATCAGAGAGGAGCTGCTGCTGAAATCAGAGTCTTTAACTCGAACAGATGAGTTACCCAGTGCCCCAAGCCACTGTGCCCCAGACTCGCTGTGTTAATCATCCCCAGCCCGTGACCAGCACCATATGCCGCGGCTCACGGGATGACATCAGCCTCAGCTGGAGCAACGTGGGCCAGAGGTGCTCTGAGGGGATGCACACTCACAGGCTGCTCCGTGGCAGGGCTTGCCTGGCACATCACGTCACATCACACCCGTCAGCTCCTGCCTCTGCACCCGACACGACGTGCCAGACTCTCCGGGACGTGATCCTGCACAGCCGCTGCTGCGGGTGGAAGTGCCAGCAACGGGAAGGGCTTGGAGAGGCAGGAGGTGAGGATGCTCACCACAGATTCCCTCGTGTCCCCTTATACAGAGGCATGGATTCTGGGGGCACCAGGGGGTTGGGAGGTGCTGGGGGAATAACCCTTCCATGGGCATCTGGACTGTATTGGGAATAGTGCAGAGCCTTCTGTCACAGACCTGGAAAGCCAAAGAGATCATATCTCCCACAAACACCTTCCTCTTCAAGCTTATTGAGGTTGTCAAGGGGTTTGTAGGGCAAGCCCTCCCTGTACAGAAGCCATGTTGAGTTTTCTGAAGGAAATCTCACTAATCCACAATTTTCTGCTCTTTTTTAGACCTTCTGCTAACTTGTCCATTACAAACCTCAAGCACACAGGGCCTGCAGCCTTTGCCATTCGATGCACCAGCTCTTTTGCTAAGCTGATAAAGCTGCATCTTCAAACTCCTCAGGCTCTTTTGGCCCCATGTCCTCTCCTGGATCAGCTCCCCTCGAAGCTGATCTGACTTGCTGTGCAATCTTCAGGAAGCAGCTTAGTGCCAGAAAGCAATGGGTAGAGGAAAAGCAAGAAGAAAGGCTGGCATCAAAGAGCAGAGCTCCATGCAGAAGGGCTCAGAACCAACCTACCCCCCTGGAAATTCATGTGGCAGACAGCCCTGGACCAATGCCCACAGCAGATTCCAGCTCCTCTTGCTGTTATTTCTTACTAAACCAAAGAAAACTCTTCCCCGCCATTCCAGAGATGGGAGAGAACACTTCATGAAAATTAAGATGGGTCCTGGAAAATCAAGGATGGCAGCTGATGCAGGGTGTCCTATATCTGAAGAGCAAAAACCGGATTTGGCGTGTTTTTTAAATGACAAAGCAGATCTTTCCTTACCAAATTTGGTATTCTCCACCACATGTCAGATGATGAAGCATGGAAATATGTCATCTTGGATGCACAGGGGGAACAATAGGAGAGAAAACAAGTGGATGGATGGATGGATGGATGGATGGATGGATGGTTGTCCCATGGTGAAGGGCACTGGGAAGTCCAGGAATGAGCTGAAACAGCCATGGGCTGGGAATGTCACCCACAGGTGAGCGTGGAGGGTGGGAAAAGGAAGGCACTGAGGTAGCATCTGCTGGATGAAGAGCCCTCTCCATGGTAGGACTGGAGCAAGTTTCTCATGCCTCTCCTGGAGAACAAGGCTAGAGCAGAGTTGATCCTGCTCAGAGCATCTTTTGCGGGGATACGTGAATCTGTGTTTCAGTGCGTGGAGATGGTTATTGCAAAGCCACTTTATTTATGGTGTTTTTATTGGCAGGGGAGTGGGAGTGCAATACAATTTTAGCCACTCTGATGTCTCCATGTCCCTTGCAGCCCACCTCCATTCTAGAGCAGATTTTTCTTCACATTACATGATTCCTCAAACTGTACAGAGGACTTTCTGCACCTGAAATGGTACAAAATTAGGATGGTCTTGCAGAGCAGGGTGAGGTGTGGGCAGTTCTGAGAGTGCTGATGACTGTGTGTCTCCACCACCATCACCAGCCCTGGTCCCCACCAGCTGCAGGAAGCAGGATCTCTCTGCATGTGGCAGGAATAGCGTAGGACCAGGATTGGTGTGAAGCTCAGCCAGGTTGAACTTGAACCTGAAGAACGATGCACATCACACTGTGAGCTGAAGGAGTCCAAATCTCAGGTGTGAGCAGGGGCAGTAACAGCCCAGACAGCAGCACCTTTTTTTGATCATTTTAGAAAAACCATGTTGAAGATTGAAGTGAGTCTTCAGAGCTCCCAAGTCAGAGACCACCACTCGGTTATGCTCCACTTCTCAAAGCTCACACAAATCTCTCCCACCTCCCACTGTCACTGTCCCCTGGATCACACCAACCCTTTATAAACACGCCCAGAGAACGCTTTTGTCTCTTCCTGTCCTTTTCAGATATTTCGGGTATTTGTGGCAATCTCTCCTGTTTATATAACAAAGCCACAGCCCAGTGTTTGTGACACCATATCCATGGAAACCCTAATATAGCATGCACAGGCGACTAGATCTCATTAGGTGGCTCAGCTGCAGCAACACTGGGGAGGGAGTTTCTCTGGGCTGCTCTGGTGGGAAGGGGCCTGGCTGCCCACCCAGCCTCGAGCCCCTGGCGAGGCAGCACCTCCCAAAGAGAAATGATACTCTGGCTAATTTTGGCCTTTCTCCTGCTGTCCCACCACCAGCTCACCATGGCACAGCTCAGCCACCCACCTCTTGCTCTGCAGCAGGTCTGTGGGTGCACGGCTGGACCAAGAAGAGAGGTAGAAGTGATGGAGATGCTCAGTCAGGGCAGTCCTTGCTAGACCAGGAGCAGCAGGATCGAGCTGTAAAGAGCAGCTGAGGTCCAGTTCTGTCTCTGATTCAGGGAGACGACTCCGGTGCCAGTGGGGAGGTCCAACTGCATGGTTGGGCTGGATTCCCTTTGGGTGTGGTCCTCGTTGATGATGAGGCAGAGGATTTCTTACATGGTGTAAGAAAAAGAAAATTTTGTCCTGAGGAAAGCAAGACAAGTTAGGAGAAAGCAAGAAACTGGAACAAGCAGAGGCTTAACAAGAGGGATGTTACAGCCTTTGTTTTTCTTGTGCTGTAAGGCACAAACTCACATGCAAGGAGGAAGGAATGGCTCTTCCCTCCCACTGCTGCTGGATCACAGTCTCCTCCAAGTGTCCTGTCCTGACTGTCACCCGGCACATCTGTGGGTCAAACAGCGACTGCTGCTGTCACATGTGGAGGTTCCTGCACAAAAACATGCAGCTCGCTGTGGCCCAGCAAGACCCAGGTGACACAGAGACATTAAAACCATTTCAGAGAGCACAGACACTCACCTGTGTCTCTGTTGGGCGATTGAAACTCAGATTTGAACCTCCCGAACCTTTTCAGTGCATAGCAAAGCCAACAGTCAGCAGGCAGATCCCTAATCCTTCTGATTTGTTATGGGAAGAGGACTGAGCAAAGTGATCCCTTGAAAAGGATTATAAACAGTTCTTCTGGCTTTGGGATGTATATGGAACACCTCCTGTGAGCCATGGGGCTGGTCCTAAAACTCAATGGCTCTGGAATAAAGGGTGAGAGGTGGATTTGGCCAGAGAAATTGTACACAGCAGCGATCAGGGCAGGGGGTCCTGGGACCCTGCCTGGTTGCCCATCCCTGTGAGCATCTTCCCTACTTGCCAACTCCCTCTTCCCCCTTCCCACACCACGTCAGGTCCAGCCTGAGTCAGACACTGCCAGACCTCATCAGCACCGAGGCAAATTCGATCCTGGTCTGGCTGGCTGTGGATGGGGGCTGTGGATGGCAGAGCCCCCGGGGCATGGAGAGCTGCACTGGCCGTGTGGGAGCAGACAGCAAAGCTTCCCTTCCCTCCCTGCCCTTGCCCAAATTGAATTTCCATTTATGTTAGCGAGGCAATGGATTATAGCTCCGAGGGGTGCTGCCTGCTTCAGTCCCTAATTTGGCGCATCAATTGTGTTTAAACCCACTTACCTGTAAGGCAGCCTTTGTTCCAGGCAGGCAGTCCTCGCTCCTGCCGATGGAGGCAGCTGCTTCCCCAGCTCCCTGCCACGAATGTCAGGCACTGCTGCTGCCCCGGCTCTGGAACCCACAGCTTATCTCCAGCTTTGCATCCAGGGTCATTAGTGGCAATGAAAGGCCACAGCAGTTTGTCACCAGGAGGGTTTGGATGTGTGGCTCTACAGAGGGACGGGGTCAGCAACACCCAGTGGGGGGTTAACACTGCTGCTGGGGTTCATTCAGCATCCAGCACAACAAAGCTGAGGCCTGGGGGACTCAGCTGAGCACAGTCCACCAAAAACAGCCCTTCTATGGGATTCACAGCACACTCCAGGTATTCCCCAGAGGTTACTGCACTCTTGGATCTTTTCTGCCAGGGAGTTTAGCAGGGTCTGTCTGGGGAGAGACATGGGGTGTACAGGGGGACACCTGAGTCTCATCTCCAGCACAGGATGGTCCTGTGTTAGCACCAGCACAATTATGCTGGCATTAGCCCTGTCAAGAGCTCACAAGCGGGCAGAAAGCTGCTGCTGCTGCTCTGCCTTCAAGGAAAGGGGCTGAACCCCCCAGCACTGGGCCCGTGGGAAGCTGCTCCACGTCAGCTCTGAGTGGTCAGAGTTCCAGCAACAGGAAACTGGCATTTCTACATCTCATTGAAATCCTAAAATAAACACCAGAAGCAATGAATGGAAAGCTGGATCCTTGCTCCTCACCTGGATTTATGACCCACGACGAGGGAGAAACTGAAGGGGAGAGAGAGAGATATACATTTTATTTTTTTTTCCTCTTCAAATAAATTCTCACTGCTTATCTGCAAAGTTCAGCTGTTTTCAAGCTGACCTGCCCATGTTATGCTGTGCCACTGCAAATTCCTTCTGTGCAGGAAAACTCAGGAGCTCCACTTGCACACGCCAGCAACCTGGGGTTTCATCTCTAATACAGGGAGGCAGAACTCGTTAGCTGAGGACCCCCTCCTGCCCCTTGGTGAGGATCACTTGCCTTCCTGCTGTGCTGGCAGCTCAGCTGCTTCTCTTTACAATGAGGAAGCAAAGCCAAGAGAGGTGGAGAAGTGGGTGAATCTGCTTGGAGGAGGTCAGGGACGGGGAAGGACAGAAATCTGCTCTCAGGGGCTTTCGTAGTGTAGTCAGATGTCTGCCCAAGCACCAGGGCTGGAAGATGAAGGACATCCATCTGAGCCTTCAGTGCATCCAGGAATGAGCCCAGGAGCCTCAGGCAAAGAGGGGGATGCTGCATCCTCCTTCAGGAAGGTGAGCAGAGCTGTGGAAGGATTGAGGTGCAGATCCAGCTCCTCGGGCAGGAGCCCCAGGGCACTGCAGGGGCTCCATTCACAGTTCCAGTGAATACGACCCCACTCAGAAATGCCATGGTGGGAGCCTTCCCAGGCATCTCCAGTGACCTCCTGCATGTCATGCTATGCAGACATGTGCTTTTGAGGCTGACAGCAGCAGCAGTGGGAGGGCTGGTGTGGGACTGGGCTGTTCCCTGGCATCACTGTGCTCGTGGGATGTGGGATGGGGCTGAGGGATGCTTGTCTGGGACAGCTCAGCTCTCCATCTTTCTCTCTGCATTGGCCTTTTGCCTGATGAAGCTGAATGAGAGATCAAACCCTCTAACCAGCAGGTCACCCGACAAGGAGAGATGCCCCGGATCAATTGACGCAGTCCTGAGTAATGGTTATGTCTTAGGACAGTAAAACCTCATCGAATTTAACGTAGGGATGCACACACTGATGATTCATTAAAACACCCGGGCGCTGAGCTGAATCTATTTCCTCTCATTACACAGGGCTGGGAAATGTGGATCTGCCCCTGTGACATTGCTGCAAGGACCAGGAGTGAAACCCAAGACCCAAAGGGGACTGGGGGGGACTCCGCACGGAAGGCATCCGAGAGCATCTCCTGTCACGTGAGCTGGCATTAATAAAACAAGACCACAAACTCGGAGGCTAAAGCAAGGCAGTGTGTGTGTATCAAAGAGCTCGAGGCAGTTCATTATAATTCCAATTAACGTAGAAAAGTTAATAACCGAAAGAGGATACATCAGACTTTAAACCAACGAGAAGGGGGAGGGGGAGAGACAAAAGGTGTCTTTAAGCTGGAGCT